ATGTCAGTCCCAAGTAGAGTCTTAGAGCTGTACTGAAGGTAATGTTCGGTTTAATTCGTCCATGCTGACCAGATATCCTATGTTAATCTAGTCTAATTTGCCAGCTTTTAGCCCATATCCCTCTAAATCCTTCCTATTCATATACCTACCCAGATACCTTCTAAACGTTGTAATTGTACCAGCCTCCATCACTTCCTCTGGCAGTTTGTTCCATACATGAACCACCCTCTGTGTGAAAATTTGTCCCTAATGTCCCTTTTAAATCTTTCCCCTCATATCTTAAACCTATGCCATCTACTTTTGGACTCGCGTAACCTCAGGAAAAAACTTTGATTATTCAACCTATCCATGCACCTCATGATTTTGTAAATTTCTATGAGGTCACCCCTCAGCCTCCAACACTCCAGGCAAAATAGCCCCAGCCTATTCAGCCTCTCCCTATTGCACAAATCCTCCAACCCTGGCGACATTCTTGTAATTTTTTTCTGAACCCTTTCAAGTTTCACAACATCCTTCCTATAGCAGTGAGACCAGAACTGAACACAATATTCCAAAAGTGGCCTAACCAATGTCCTGTACAGCCGCAACATTACATTCTAACTCCTCAACTCGATGCACTGACCAACAAAGGCCAGCTTACCAAATATCTTCTTTACTACCCTGTCTGTCTGTGACTCCACTTTCAAGGAACTATAAACCTGCACTCTGGCAACACTCCCCAGGACCTGACCAATAAGTATATAAGGGACAACTGAAATTGGTCTAACTGTCAGTAGGTGAGGCAAGGATGAGTATAGAAATAGTTTCTCACTGTAGTTGACATCAGACTAGGCTTGTGTAAAATAGTCACTTCTGAAAATTTCTGGCCAAATATTAGCTAGAGTCAGAATCAGAACAAGAGGTAATCGATTTTTTTCACTTCATGTTATGCAATCGCACAGGTCAAATCTAAACATCAAATCCTTCAGGGGGGAGGAAAGATAAGTCTCAGTCACAGTAAAGATAACACGTATGATAAAAGAACCACCAATTGTACAATAGGGATGTTCAATGGAATATTCTTGAAACAACGTTGGATTCAAAAAAAAGGTTTTTTCAAGACAGTAAAACAAATAAACAAGGGCAATATAGGCTTATCACAATTCTTGCAATTAAATTTGACTAAGACATCCTCATAATACTTGCTCATTGCCATTACTCTTCATTAGAAAAAAAAGAACTTTTAATCTTCAGTTACAGGAGGTTATCTCAATTGTTTAGCAATGGACTATGCAGATAGACAGCTTGAGTTGAGTGTCAGTGTCAGTGGTAAGATAGCATATTTAGTGAGGCATTCGATACTCAGGCAACAGGAGGTGGATTAGCTTGGATAGTAATGTTGAACAAGTCCTGGGACACACAGAACAGTTGATGATATTTTAATATGAAAATAATTCTTGTCAAGTATTTAATCTTGGCAATCATGGCAGTGTCATTAATGTTATTTACATTTCTGGGGCTCACAGAATAGAATTGAACTGCTAGAAAAGTAACAATTTATCACATTTGCTTTGGTGCAAATTCTTCAGATGGAATTATTTTTCTTGTATGTTTCCTTTTAAAGTTGTTGAGTGAAGCTCTGTCATTCTTCAGGGATCTTGAGGTTCATGCTCAGAGCCCTGAAGATAGCTGGACAGGTTAATAGATGTAGTTAAGAGTGCATATGGGATGCTTGTCTTTATGAGTTGAAGCATAGATAACAAGAGCAGGGAGGTTAGGATGGTGTTGTACAAAACTTTGATGAGACCACAACTGGAGCACTGTGTGCAGTTCTGGCCACTACACTATAGGAAGGATGTGATTGCACTGGAGGGGGTGCAAAAGAGATTCACCAGGATGTTGCCTGGGATGAAGCATTTTAGGTATGAAGAGAGGTGAATAAACTCAGGTTGTTTTCCTTGGAGCAGAGAAGATTGAGGGGAGACATGATTGAGATGTAGAAGATTATGAAGGGTGTGGACAGGATGAATCGAAAGCAGCTGTTCCCCTCAGTTGAAGGGTCAGAAACATGGAGCATACTTTGAAAGTGAAAGGCAGGACATTCAGGAGGGATTTGAGGAAAACATTTTTCACCCAGAGAGGTAGTGAAGGTCTGAATTCACTGCTGAGGAGGTAGTTGAGGCGGGTGACCTCACAACCATTAAAAAGTACTTGGATTAGCACTTTATGTGTTATACAATCAAGGCTATGGTCCTAGTGCAGGAAAGTGGGATTAGTGTAGGTAGTAGCCTATTTTGTGGTACAGACGCGATGGCCAAAGGGCCACATCTGTACTGTATGATTTTTTGTTTCACAATGAACAAAGGTGGCAAAGCTTACAGTAATTAATGGAGTTAACGTTTTGGGTCCGGTGACCCTTCCTGAGAAGGTTATTAGTTCTGAGGAAGGGTCACTGGACCCGAAACGTTAACTCTGTTTTCTCCTTCACAGATGCTGCCAGACCTGCTGAGCTTTTCCAGCAACTTTGTGTTTGTTCCTGGTTTACAGCATCCGCAGTTCTTTTGGTTTTTATTACAGTAATTAATGTTGTGCACAATTTTAATGTGTTAATGACAAATTTGTATACACATATGACGTGCCAATTTCACTCAGTATAAATCAATGAATTCAGATTGTCATGCAGATTTAGCACAGGAACTGTACATGCATATTTAGTCTTTCCTGGTGAGAGGCGAAGTTGGGATGGGCAAAAGGATGAAGGGACACTTCACAGGGCAAAATTTGGGTTCTCAAATTGTAGACTCAGGCATTTTTCCATTAATTTAATCTTTATTGGCTCTCAAATGGAAACCACATTTTAAAAACACAAAAAATGCCCGTTTTAAATCACAGAGTTTATGTTCCACATATGCACGAAGGTTATTAGTGTATACTATTTCACTAATTGAGACCATTAGAAACAATGCTCTCAGCCAGCATCTACACTTTCCAGCAAAAAAAACCGAAGAGACCAGAACTGCAAGGGGTCAACTTCTCTCCTCATTCTTAGCCCAAGGCCAATGAGGCAAATTGTGAGGGTTTTTTGCCATTATATTGGCACAGCTGGTGATCTTTGGGTCAGAGGTTTGAGGTTCAAATCCATGAACTGGTACTTGGGCAACCCTTTAAGCCAGACATGCTGAAGGATGCTGTATTCTCCAATCACAATTTTGTTCAATGTTTTAAGGCACTGTTTGAAGCATTCTCCTCACGGCCTAGATCACACCCCAGATACCAAAAGCAGATTAATCAGTTATTCAGCTCACGGCTGGTGCAGAATACTTTGGCATTTGTCAACAGAGGAATAATTGCACATCAGAAGGAATTCACTGTAGAAAGCACTTTTCAGATGTTTCCAAGTAACAGTGACTCTGATTGTTGTCCTGGTGTAACCCATAACAATATCCCAATGATTAATCTTTATAATTCCTGGTGACGTCAGAAGAATCCAGGGGGTGGCAATATTCAGTTCAGCACACCATGGATCAGAAACTACAGAATGATACCATTGACAGTTGCATAAACTCACATATATTCCTTTCGGTTTAGGACAGTTGAGTGGCAATGGATAGAGAGACTTTATTTTCTCCAATTGAGGATCCTGAGTTATGGGCAACAATCCAACCGTTGGAGCATGGCAACTGTGGAACGAAATCAGGAGACATTTTGCTTCTCAATTCCGAAAGCTTCTGGATTTCAGACCAATTGAAAGTTTCAAAACAACCAATAACTTGCATTTACATAGCACCATTTACTAAAACAGCTTATGGCATTTTTCAAGGCTGAGATGCCTAAACATTTGGTTAAATTGTAGGATCAAAAGTCAGGCAGTTGGAGTTAACGTGTAATCTGATCATGACTGTGTAACTTAATAGCCCCAATATGTTCCTGTTTGCTAAGCATGGGTGAGCTATTAGAATTTATTTTTTTAAAAGGTTGTATGTAAGCTTATAGCTGTCATGCAGTTCAATTATGAACCAGATTTTAAGAGATGAGAGTGGAACAGGGACAGAAACACAATCTTAAAGCAAACAACTAGTTTGTTCAAGTTATTGTTTCAAACACAGAGTTGAAAGCACAGATATAATAGGAGGAAGGGAGAAATGATGTAAAATATAAGACTTGTCAATACCTAGTTTTACAGTTTACTGTAAAGTATGTCATTAAATGGATGGGTCCCAAATGAAAATAATTACAAAACATCAACTCTTTGATGCAATTCAGCTGTAGGAGCATCACATCCAGGCACAATCCCAAAATTGCTCAGTGTCCGCCCACATCACAGCTGGGGATGTGGGAATTGTGGCCAATTTTCTCTTTGCCCATTCACAAGCACATTAATGCCAATTACATAACATCTCTGGTCCAAGTGAACATCACCTAAATATGGGACCATTCCAACAGACTGTACTTATTTCCGTCAATAAACTTGCAGAATCAATGCAAACAATACTCCCAAAACACCCGATGGAAAGACGGAAGGAGCTTGGCACATTGGGAAAAGTCGGGTAGAAAAAAGAATCATTGCTTATCTAAAGTGTACAGTCTCAAAACACAGGACAGGTGAGAAGATTGTTTTTATGATAGCTCCATGAATGTAAGCAATGTGCATAAATCACTTAAAAGTCAATAGAATCATAGAATCCCTACAGTGTGGAAGCAGGCCATTCAAGTCCACACCGACCCTCCAAACAGCATCCCACCCAGACCCATTCCCCGATCCTATCCCTGTAAACCTGCATTTTCCTGCATCTAACCTACACATCCCTGAACACTATGGGCGATTCAGCATGGCCAATTCACTTAATTTGCATTTTTTGGACTGTGGGAGGAAACCAGAGCACCCAGAGGAAACCCAACAGACATGGGGAGAATGTGCAAACTCCACACAGACAGTCACCTGAGGGTGGAATCAAACCTGGGTCCGTGGCACTATAATACTAAAAATATTAGAAAATTTCCAAATAACTGCATTTGGGCACTCAGTAATCAAATGGCATGTATCGAGCTCTTGCCAGGTTGCTCTCATTGGGTGACATTTCAGTGCCAACAGGAGATGGGTAAAATTGATGAAATACAGTATCAAAAACACTCTTATTTGGTGGGACAACTTGCAGCATTCTGTCCAGATCGAATACAAATGGTGGACGTAAAGGTGGCAAAGCGTGTGGATCAGGTAGAAATGGCCACCTGGGTGGGCTAAAGATCGGCGTTGGTCTATATGGAGAGAAGAGATTTGAAGGACTGTTGTACTGAAAAAATGTGGAATATGGTAGACTCATACTCGGAGGTGCAATTACATTTGGAGGGGGATATTTAGTATAAGATGTTGGTAGCTCCCAAGGCATGTAAGGCCTTGATGGAAGTTCTGAATAGTTGGCACAACGATTGTTTAGCAGTGAGAGAGGAGTAGACGTGCTGTAATCCATTGATAACCTCAACCGTTTGGATTCATGCTGATGAGGAGATTCTCGTTGAGAAAAGTTGGTGTTGTCTTCAATGGAGGAAGAACTCGAAGTTGAAGTGCTTAGGGGTGAGGGAAACTGGTTCTTGCGATGAGCACTATGAGAGAAAGAGAATGAAGAAGAAGCCTGTGGGCTGTCAGATATTGCTGGATGAGGATGCCAAGTGTCCAAGTCCAGTTGTGTAGAGCCTTTGTTTGATGCCTTACTCTGGAGACTGCACTTGGAGGTCTTTGGATAACGTTTGTCCCTTTCAGATGGAGATACTTCCAGGCTATTCCACAATGTATCAATGGAAAAAGCGTCATCTGTCCTGCTGCCACCTTGTTGCAAGGGGGCAGTTTCAAACCGAGAACAGGATCCAGTGACTGGCTGTGCTTTGCTGCTTTCTTCAGAAGCCACAAGGCTAGCAATCCCACCTTGGATATAAGCAGTTGAACTGGCTGCAAACTTCCTCGCATCTTGTCGTGAGACAGATGTGTTTTGTCGCTTCAATGCTTCGGGTGGAATGCGAGTAACATCGACCGTCCAGTAGTTCCCCTTCGCTTGTGGCCGCTGTGGGTCATTCAATACCTAAACAACAAAAAAGAAGTATCTTTTAGTCATCAAGCCCCTTTCTTGTCCTTCAGCTGTATACAATTACTCAATGCCAGATGGTTTTCTATAGCACTGGCTGTGGGGTTGTGATTTCTCATTTATGAGCCAAGGCAGCTGCTTTGACAGGAAATTATACACTGGAAGGCATCACAAGTGAACTATCAAAGTCAAATCTCTACCAACCTCATGCATTATTAATATACTTATGCTTTCCAGGACGCTTCTGTGGAAAATAAATGGGAAGAAGTGGCTGACAATGCTGCCTCACAGCGCCAGGGAGCCAGGTTCGAATCCAGCCTTGGATGACAATCTGTGTGGAATTTCAAGTTTGCACATTCTCCCTGTGTTTGCATGGGTTTCTTCCAAGTGCTCTGGTTTCCTCTTACAGTCCAAAGTTGTGCAGCTTTGTGGATCAGCCGTGCTTAATTGTCCCATAGTGTTTAAGGATATGCAGGCTAGATGGAATAGCCGTGGTAAAAGCAGGGATAGGAAAGGGGAACTGGGTCTGGGTGGTAGGCTTTTCGGAAGGTCAGTGCAAGACTCAGTGGGCCAAATGGCCTTTTTCCCCACTGTAGGGATTCTAAGAAGGATCCTGGCAAATTCCTCAGTACCTACCACTTCTGCAATCAGTGTTGTGGAGTCCAATTCAAGATGACCTATTACTACCCGGTTACCTCAATATCCTTTGGGGATAAAATCTGGGACATACCCCTAACTATGCTCTTATTCAGTCATATATTTACCAACTGAGGCAGGCTGTGTACTCTATTGTACCATGCTGTAATGCTGTAGTTACTGAGGTTAATGAAGTCTAGTTGTTAGAAAACCTGAAATTTTCCAATGGCTCAGAAATTTATCTAATGAGGAAACTATATGTTGTAGAACAAAAAGGAAATAGCCTTGATTGATAGTCTTAACAGGAAGTTGTCATTCAGCCATTCCTATAATTTCTGCTAAAGATCTCCTGACAAGAGGGGTCAGTTGCAGCTTTAGGAAAAGGGCTGGCACGAAGATTGTAATTGCGGTCTACTATTCCTGATTCTACTCAGCAGTTTCCTATGAACGACACTTTTCCTTTGTGACCACGCATCAAGGCTTACCCTTCCTTTCATGCCCAAAGATTTTCATTTTACTGTTATAATAGCACCAGTGCACACTGTGGGATAGTCCAGAATCACAAACTATGGATGAAGGAGGTTATTTATTCTATCTCATGCAAAATTCTATAGAAACCTGTAAATTGCCAAAGTATAATTCAGTGTTTTGGCTTCCACGACCTTAACAGGCACAGTCCAAGTATTGATTTCCCTTTTCTGATGAAGGGTCTAGGCCCGAAACGTCAGCCTCTCTGCTCCTATGATGCTGCTTGGCCTGCTGTGTTCATCCAGCCCTGCACCTTGTTGCCAAGTATTGATCATTTTGTTTATGCAGTTTCCTGACCCAAATCAGGAATTTGCCTGTTTCTCCCATGACAGTTATTTTTCAATCATTGTTTAACTTAAATCTTTTGGAATTTATGTTTTCTAAACCACTCCCTTAATTGAGGAAACATCTGAAGTAAGCAAGCCTCCTCCATGCCACTCTCATTTATCTTGTTAAACTTAAATTGAGCCTCTACAGGCCCACTATTCTCCAGAAAGAGAGCTTCCAGAGATCCCCACACAGCATTGAAGGGACAGAAACAAACTTATCTTCAACTCCACTTCCTCTTCACTGCACCCAGAAATTGAATCCACAAAGTCAGCAACAAAGGAGTTACAAATGAACTCAGTGGTCAATTTCTTTTAACCTCCTCCTCAAATGCTTAAGAATTTAAATGTCTCAAATGCCTATCCCTGCTAACTCTTTGACTCCCTTGTTAGTCAAGGGACTATTTCTGCCCTTAAAAGTATCACCTGTACTATTCTCTAGGGAAGCAAGTTCCAAAGACACTCAGCCATTAAAACGTTTCTCCTCATCTGTCTTAAATCGAAGACACCCCCTAAATTTAAACTTAACTCCCTCATCCCAGATTCCCACAAGTGGAATCATTCTTTCAACATCCTACCACCGCATCCATCCTCCCATAACTGCCCTGACAAATTCCCCCAGAATTGTGCACTACAAAAAACATTCACCTACCCTAACTTGCTGATGGTTAGGAAACCAGCAGGAACCAACCTAAAACAACAAGCCCAACCCAATTTTCAATCCAATTTTTCTACCCAGATTGTAGTTTTTAAAAACTGATTTTACCAGAGGAAATTCTGTATCACAGACCTGCTTTAAGGAAGAAAAGCAAGGAAAAGAATAGGTGACAACGAAGATAAGATTTAAGTGAAAAGCAAATGGAATCTGCCAACACGTGTCCTTAAAATTTATCACCAAGTGTAAAACTGACAATAATGGTCGAGCAACTTATTTTACAACTCAAACTGATCTTCTCTATTATTGATGGAGACAAAATTAGGGTAGGGTGTAAAATGGGTCCAATTTGCTAATCATTCAATAAGACTAAATTATTCACAACTATTCTGAACTACGTAGAAGGAAACATACTCAGTAGCAGAATGTGCTAATGGTAGAAGTTAAAACATTCCCCTACTACAATGATACTAATTAACAACTACATGCCAAGTCAGAGCTAAGTATAGGCCTTAGATTCTTGCACTTAGCAGGTACTTTACACAAGCTCTTACAACAGAATGAGAGATTTGATGAGAACTCAGCTCTCGTATGCAACAAGTAATTTAAATTTGCTTTGAATTAAAAGCAATTATGAAAATCTGCAAAGTACGTTCTGTAGAACATGCTTTTATAATTCTCCATTACTTGAATTCTCAAAAAGCTAACACAGTGATTTTCTAAGTGGCTGCAGGAATAATAGAGTGGTAGAGCAATTATTTAATCTGGTGGGAGAATCTATTAAACTGTAAAATATAGGACAATGTCAGAAGTCACATGACTCCAGGTCAGGCAGCATCAGGAGTAGGAAAGTTGACATTTTGGGTCAGGACCCTTCTTCAGAAGCATCAACTTTCCTGCTCCTCTGATGCTACCTGACCTGCTGTGTTCTTCTAGCTCCACACTGTATTGTCTTTGACTCCAGCATCTGTAGTTCTTGCTATCACCTATAGTCCAACAGATTTATTTGAAATCACAAGCTATCAGAAGGTAGCCTCCTTGTCAGGTGAAGGTGGGTTATAATCTGGTATCATGTGACCCAATACCAGTACATCCACATTATAAAATGTAGTAGCAGAAGTACAACATTCAGTCGAAGAAGTTTGTTCTGCCATTCAATGAGATCTAATCAACAACTCTACCTTCCTTTTCTATCATATTGGTTTTAATTCAGACTGCATTAGAGCTTTTTTCACATGAGGAAACTGCAATCCTTGTTTCTATAACTCCTGAGTCCCTTACTGATTAAAAATCAGTATGTAACAAGCAGTTTGTGTCTCAGCCTTGAATATCGGTAATGACCCAAACCCTTACAGTAAAGAATTCCACAGATTCACTTCCTTCAGGGAATAACATAACCCTCCTGATCTCATTTCTGAAGAAGGGTCTTGATCCGAAATGTCAACGTTCCTGCTCCTCTGATACTGCCTCGCCTGCTGTGCTCCTCCAGTTCCACGTTGTTACCTCCTCATCTCATGTTTTAATGGGTGACCCCTGATGTTGAGATTATATTCTTGGTCCTAGACTCATAAGGGCATAACAACCACTCTGCATCTAACCTGCCTTTGAAATACTCTTTAATTCTACCACCCAGTTTCTTATATTTGCCTTAAAAAAAAAGCTAAGTACTGAGAAGTTAGCAAATAAAAGAGAATCCACTTTTTGTCTTCAATTCATTTTTCGTGCTGAAAGGAAATTAAGTATGACTTTCCACTCAGGCTATTCATAAAATTGCATTTATTACTGAATTAATCTCCAGCAGTTCTGAATGGTATGATTCAGCAGTTACAGGTAACCTGGGCGAGTTGAAGCAAAGATTAAAATTAACATCTGCTGTCAAGTTTATTTTACTAGGGCTGTTCGTTCAAGTGAACGGTGCTTGTATTGGTAATTAAAGGAGGAAGTGTATAGCCACCCAAAGTCTAGTCTGCTAGGAACAAAGACCGAAGTAACTCTGCCTTCTCTCCACAGAGAGTTATTCCAGCAATTTCTGATTTCCAGCATCCGCAGTTCTTTGATTTTCTTTTTGTCTAGTCTGCTGGTATAGGAAGAAATAAGGAGCGGAAGGGGCGCAAATGCGATTTGAGGTGGAGCTGACACGGACTGTTCGGGCCGAAAGGTTTGCTCTTCGCGTTTTAATTTCAACTTTAATTCTCAACTTTTTGCTCTTGAGTAAGAGAGGATTTTTTGTTCATTAATAGTGGTTTTCATGAGCTGCGCCTTGCGAAAATAGATAAAGGAAACATTCAAACTGAAGTAAATTACGGGGAAATCCACACCAACTTTTGCTTTGTCGACGAAGAGAACACATTTCCCCCCTCCCTCCATCTGGGGACAAGCCATTGTACAAGTTAGAGAGAACTTTAAAACCTGAGCAAGGGAACAGCAAGAAAATTGTTTCCCCACTTCATCCCAAACGCAAAATAATTCATTGAAATAGATAACACAGATGGCCAGGAATTCCCAATTCACAGGCACTGCACACATTCCAATGTTGGAAAGAGTCTGAGGGTTCTTTCCCGCTTGTTCATTCTAATTTCTTTGGGAGAGCTGCGGAAATTCCGGAAAAAAAATCAGGTATAAATCATTTTACCGGAGTTTACACGTCTCTTCCACAAGCAGGAAAGCTGTCCTTAAAAGTCAGTCTCTCCATCCGTTACCTGCATTTGCAATCACCAATGTTGTGACCGAGTACTATACTGACAAGCTTCAAAATCAGAAAAGGTACAAATTTCTCATTGTACCCGGATGATTAGCCTCAATTCCAGTGGTTTAAAAGCCTGGGAATTCAACATCCCCATAATAAGGCCTTGATGATGAGAATACAAAGAATACAGCCAGTGGGAACTGAGCTTTTCAATCTCTCTCCTCATTTAAATTGCTACACTGACCTCTGCTTTACACTATAATTGCCCAACACAATCAATATAGTTAGAATACTTACTTTTATAAAACAGTCATTCAGAGACAGGTTGTGTCTGACAGAATCTTTCCAGCCTTTGTAATGTCCTTTGAAAAATGGAAACATAACACTAATTTCGTGGAGAATCTGTGAACACATAACACACAGCCATCTTGTTACATTTTGTTACATATAACATCCTCGCTATATTTAACAAAAAACTACATTTCCACACACACACCAGTCACAAACAAAAAACCTGTACCTGAGATAGCTTCAGTTTCTTCTCTGGTGAATTAAGGATAGCAATGGTTATGAGAGCAAGGTATGTGTAGGGTGGCTTAGGGTATCTTTGGTAATTTTTCTTCTTTGATGGTTGTTTGTCAGTATCTCTTGCATTTCCTTCATTGCAGTCTTCTGTAAACTTGTGGTCTCTTATATCCTGGACCTGAATTGTAGAGTCATGGGTATGACAAGCTGAATCATCAGAGATGTGAACTGACTGCTTCATCCCGGGAGCCTTGGATGAACCCACCAAATGCAGACTCTGAGAGGAAGGGTTTCTTTGGTAGAGGGATTGTTTGAAGTCAAGAGGGGTGGTTTTTGCAGGAGGAAGAGAGGAAGCCATTGCATTGTCCCAGTCTTGCATTGCCAGTTGAGCATCACTGCTGCCAGCTAATGGAGACGATGTTGAAATCATCTCAAATCTGTCTACCTCCCAGCTCATTCTCATGCTGATAAATGGAGCCGCACAAATAGACTACAGCCAGAGTTGTTTTCTTAGAAGACAATCAACATTTGCATGATCATCCAAAGTGTAATCAGTCATGACACAGGAGGATTAGCTGATGAATAAAGGGGTGGGATCAAATGGGAGGGGCATCAGAAAGCTTGGGAAGCCAATGGAGTTCATCAGCTCCACAACTTTTTGCCCCCTTCAATGTTTTTGCTCCCAAATGCTGGAATCTCTCCTTATAATGTGGCTTAAATTTATTGCACTGTCTCTTTATTTTTCACCTGAACCTAGTTAAAGGTCACTGCTATTAACAGAACGACTTCTCTTTTCCACTAGGTTATAATAACTCTTTGTGAGGTTATCAGTCCTCGTTAGCACATGGTGCCTTCTAGACAGGAATGAGAAAACACTTCTTTCCCTTATCAAGTATGAAAATGTTTGCCCAGCTGTACTTTCTCCCCTCCCATGAGGAAAAATTACCTTTTTAAACCTTTTTCTCATTTTGATCTGCCCTGTCAGGAAGTTGCTTTACTTTGCTGAGCTGTTTCTTTGACTATGTTGCTAATTCTTCCTTTTTGATTTGTTAGAACTCTCTAATTTTTGTGTCAATGTTTTACTTCCCGCCCTCCCTCCCTTATACCACTAATTTTCTCCATTTTCTGCCTTCCTTCCTGGCATTAAGCCCCTTACATACCTGACATCCTGAATCATAGAGAATCTTATCCTCTTTCTTTCCCTCTCTCTCCCTCTTTATTTTTCCTCCATTTACGTATCTATCATTTTTATGCTCTTTTTCAGTTGTTTTTCTGCATAAGCCCCTCCAAGGCTTTTCCTGTCACTCTCTCTGTAGGCTTTTTCCAAACTCTTGTTCCTCTGTTCACCCAATTCTGTACCTCTGCCTCCTCCCTGCCCTGCCCTGCCCAACCTCTTCTTCCCCACCTCACCCCACTCCCAGTCCACCCTACACGCCACCTCACACGAACACCCCTCACCACTCCACACTTAAACACTTTGAAATCTTCCTGCAGTAACTCCCAAGTATCATTCCCTGCAAGGTCCAGTTATTCAAATGTGGGCCTGAAAAGTGAATGACTGCAGATCATTTGCAAAACTAAAGATTCTCAATATCAGCATTCATGTAGCACCATGACCATAATAATGGATCATCATTGGTAAAGTTTGACACTAAGTTACATGAAGTAACACTAGAGCAGATGGCTAAAGTTTCATTTAGGAACTACGTTTTAAGGAGTAACTTAGAGGAGGAAATAAAGGTGGAGTGTGTATAAACATATGAATCAACCACATTGCTGTGGGTCTGGAGTCACATGTAGGCCAGACCAGATAAGGACAGCACATTTCCTCCTCTAAAGGGTGTTAGTGAACCAGATGGGGGTTTCCCCAAAAATTGGCAACAGTTTCATGGTCATCAGCAGACTCTTAAATTCAGATTTTTTTATTTAGTTCAAATTCCAATATCTGCCATGACAGATTTGAACATGAGTCCACAGAACATTACCTGGGTGTCTGGATTAATAGTCTAGCAATGATACCAAGAGATCATGATCTGACCTACATGCTATACCTATACCCTGAGCTATATTCAGGGGACAGTGCAGAGGATTTTAACAAGATGGTTTTCAGCGAAGAAAAAATTTTTGGAAAAGAATGTAGAGACATTTCAGACCATTAGATCCCATTAAATACACTTAGATACACCAAAGATCACAAAATAACATGCAACAAAAGCTTGGATTCGTATAGCACCTTTAACACATTAATGATCAATAATTGACAGCAAGGCAAAGAGGGGGACGTTTAGTCACATACCCTATTATTTGGTCGGAGACAACTTTGTGGAGAATTTTTATACAGGAGAGCTGGATAGAGTGGCAGAGAGAATTACACAGCTTAGACAGGTCAAGGCATCGTTACCCATTGTGGGAAGCAGAGAGTAGGGAAGCCTCAGAAGGCCACAGCGAAAGGAACACAGAATTGGGAAAATTTGGAGGGCAGAAAGGAGGTACAGAGACACAAAGGTCTGAGGGTATGGACGGATTTGAAGATGAGGATGAGAATTTTGAAGACAGCATACTTAGATGTTGATAAATTAGGGTGTTGTGTGATCCAACTTCCAAACTACTGGACTCCAACTATGCAACTTTGAGTTTGTGTTCACATGTTTAAATCCATCCCACCGTCTGGTTCCAAGCTATTTCTGAAACTCCTCTAGCTTCAAACCCAGCTGAAACCATGTCTCTTCATATTCTGGTAATTGCCTCTCATTCGGCCTTTCTACAATGATAGCATCATGACATGATGGCACTGTGTTCAGCACTGTTGCCTGACAGCACCAGGTTTGACTCCAGCCTTGGATGACTATCTGTGTTTGTATGTTCTCCCTGTGTCTGCGTGGGTTTCCACTGGGTGCTCCAGTTTCCTCCCACAGTCCAAAGATGTGCAGGTTAGGTGGTAAATGTGGAGGGAGGGAGGGTCTGGGTGGGATGCTATTCAGAAGGTCAAATGGCCTCTTTCTGCACAGTAGGGATTCTATCATCTGCTCTCTTCAGGTGAACAGCAATCTATACAGCTTGGCCTTTAGGTGGCAGTATTTCCACACTAAATCAAAGACAAGAACAACTTTGAGATAGCAGGAACTGCAGTTGCTGGAGAATCCGAGACAACAAGGTGCAGGGCTGGATGAACACAGCAGGCCAAGCAGCATCATAGGAGCAGAGAGGCTGACGTTTCGGGCCTAGACCCTTCATCAGAAAAGGGGGAGGGGAAGGGGGTTTTGAAATAAATAGGGAGAGAGTGGGAGGCGGATAGAAGAGGGATAGAGGAGAGGATAGGTGGAGAGGAAACAAACAGGTCGAAGAGGCGGGGATGGAGCCAGTAAAGGTGAGTGTAGGTAGGGAGTTAGGAAGGGGATAGGTCAGTCAAGGGGGCGGGATGAGGTTGGTCGGTAGGAGATGGAGGTGCGGCTTGAGGTGGGAGGAGGGGATAGGTGGGAGGAAGAACAGGTTAGGGAGGCAGGGACGAGCTGGACTGGTTTTGGGATGCGGTAGGGGGAGGGGAGATTTTGAAGCTTGTGAAATCCACATTGATACCATTGGGCTGCAGAGTTCCCAAGCGGAATATGAGTTGCTGTTCCTGCAACCTTCGGGTGGCATCGTTGTGGCACTGCAGGAGGCCCAGGATGGACATGTCGTCTGAGGAATGGGAGGGGGAGTTGAAATGGTTCGCGACTGGGAGGTGCAGTTGTTT